GCACGTGACCTGCGGTCACGTGGTGGGGGCAGGAGGGGCAGTTATAGAGTGGGGGCAGCACTTATGGGGTTGGGACAGCAATTCTGAGCCTGGGGGGCAAGTTATGGGGTTGGGGGCAGTTATAGGATGGGGACAGTTATAGGGTTGGAGCAGTTATTGGGGTGCAGCGGGGGAAGATCTGGGACTGGGGTGGCAATTCTGGGCCTGGGGGGCAGCAGGGGCAGTTATAGGTTTAGGGGGCAGTTCTCGGGCTGGAGGGTTAGTTGTGGGACCGGGGTGGGGCAGTAGGGGCAGTTATGGGGTTGGAGGTCGGTTATGGGGCTTTGAGGAAGTTTTGGGGCAGGTGGGCAGCAGGGGCAGATCTGGGGCTGGGGGGCAGTTGTGAGATTGGAGTGGCAGATCTGGCGCTGGGGGGCAGTTCTGGGCCCGAGGGCCACAAACCGGAGCAGACCCCGCTCAGTCCGTCCCTTTACTCCCCACCCCAGGCAGCAGCAGCAGTGGGTGGGCGCAGGACCCACGTAAGGCACAGAGATGGGGGGGGCTGCGGGCGCTCGGCCCCCTCCGGCCGCGCTCAGCCCTCCCCTCAGTCCGTCAGCTCCGGGGCTCAGCCCCGGCTCCGTCCTCCTCCGGGAGAGCTCCCGGCCATCCTGGGGGCCCGGCGGGGGGGTCTATGGGCTGTGGTTCAGGGACACCTCGCCCAGCCGGTCCCCCAGCTGCTGGATCTGCTGTGCCGAGGCGGTGTCGGGCAGCAGCACCTCCACGGTGTAGCTCACCTTCTTGGAGTGGAGGAAGCTGTACGTGTTGTCGAACCGCAGCACGTCTGGGGGAGGGACGGGACGGGGGGGTCAGGGACACGGGGGAGCACCCCGGGGTCAGAGACAGGGGGAGAGCACACCGGGGGTCAGGGAAGCAGGGGGAGCACCCCAGGGGTCCCCCCCAACACCCCAGGGTCAAGGACACACGGGACGCATCCCCTGAGGATCAGGGACACGGGGGAAGCACTCCTCGGGGGTCAGGGATATGGGAGGAGCACCTTGGGGGCAGGGATATGGGAGGAGCACCCTCAAGGGCCAGGGACATGGAGAGCACCTCGGTGGTTCCCCCCAGCACCCCCGAGGGTCAGGAACACGGGGGGAGCACCCTGGGGGATCAGGGACATGGGGGGAACACCCCGGGGGTCCCCCGCAGCACCCCGGGAGTCAGGGCCACGGGGGAAGAACCGCCGAGGGTCAGGGGCGCGGGGAGCACCCCGGGGCCGGGGTCACTCACAGATGCCGGGCGTGGAGCAGGTGAGGGAGCCGTCCTCAGGCACCATGTGGGCGTTGTAGCGCTGGTTGGGGAGCACCTCGGTCATGTCGCCCGCCCGCTGCCGCTCCCCGATCTTGGTCTTCATGTACACCCCGAAACCCACGTCGGCGCCCTCCGAGCGGAACTGCCACCTGCGCCGGGCACGGGGGGCCTGCGGTGGGCTGGGGGCACCGCCAGGGTGACACCCCCTCCCCGCCCCGCGGCACGGAGCCCTGCTCACCTGAGCACGCAGCCGGGGAAGAGGATCTCGTACTCCACCTGGTGGGACGACCCCCGGTTGACCACCACCGAGTGCTCGTACTGCTGTGCCAGCTGGTCCCGCACGTAGTAGCTCTGCGGCACGTCCCCCCCGTAGTTGATCTGGGAGGGGATGGAGGATGTGGGCATGGGGGAACCACCTGGCGCCCCTAAGTAATTCAGCAGGAGCCTCTCCTACCTTGCTGGAGCACTTGGGGTCCCCGTCAGGGTCCGTCATGGTGCCCCCGTACTCCACTGGGATCTGGTCAGGGTCGATGTACTTCTGCAGGACCTCCTTCCAGTTGGCTGG